TAAACCATGATATCTCAATAACTATAGTAGCTAGGATTTTGCTGTAGACGTCCATATAATCCTCATATTAACCCCATTAAAATGACATATCCTTTTACCCTCAACACTGTTTGGGACGCGAGTAATCTCAAGAATTATGTTACCCCATACAATGTTCTAGTAGAGTGACCATAATTTCAAGACCATAAGTTCAAGACAATACAGTCTAAGCGCATTTCTGTTCTGGTTTCTATTGTTAACTGATAAAAAACTTTTTTAATATTTAGATATTCTTATACATTATAAACAAAATGTACAGAATTATATTAATAGAATCTTGCAAGTTACTGCTCGTGGAAATGTTAATTATATCTAAAATAACGTTATAAACAGATATACACTATTTTAACAATTACTTACAGTAGAAGCACTAAAAAAAATATCATTTAAGACGTGCTCAAGAATAAATGCAGCGTTACATTCACAATTATAATGATATATTTTAAAATATATCGAAGCAATTCTTATTCTTAATCTGTTTGATTCTTCACTGTTAATATAACGCTGTTATATCGTTATTTCTGTGATTATTGTCAAATAAATTGAGTACATATACATAAATACTCTTTATTCCCAGGGTCAGTAAAAAAAAACACTGAATCAAATGCACGAGTAAATTTAATATTTTTTACAGATAAATCAGTAAAATTACTATTTTAACATTATTCTAAGTTGGTCTCTTCGGCCGCACTACAGGAGCATCGACGCGAGTTTGCCTATTGCGCTCTCTTTCTAATATTGCTTTTCATTCGCACAACTGCTGGTCAGCGGACCACCGCGCTCGCGTCGAATCGTCACGATACCAGTATTATATCTCAACGGACTGTTACTGCTGTACGTTGTGGATCCGACAGTGATATTCCGATAAAAAGGACATAAGTGTGTATTCAGTGAGAGACTTAGTGTATATTTAAACGTGATATAAATAATTACGTGATATTAATCAATATGGTAAGTTATTTATTTTTGAATTAAATTTGTTAACGATATTTATTTTGTGTTATCTACCACCATACCATGTTAAAACTTTTACCAGTTTTGCTGTAGTCAGTACTTTAACATAGGTACCTAGTTAAAAAGTAGATCGAAATAAAGTCCTAACAAATTAGGCCTTTTGCAGTTAGAGGGAATATTTTTCCCACCAATAAAAATAAATAATTAAAAAAAAATCTATTCGCAATTTGGTTTTTCGACCTGACAACACTAGCCTAACATTATGACATCTTATTTCTGTTTTTATTTGACATTGACAGATTCATTTTTTCTGTAAGTTCTTGAGGTAAATATTGAAAATTGGCGGTTTTTTGTACTGCGAGAAAAATCGGTACATATCTTTGCAATAAAGTGGTGAAAAAGGGTAAGTTCTTCTAGACGTTATGCTTTTGAATGTTATTTCATAGATATGAGACATATTTTTTATGTATCTGCCTCGAATTTTCATTTCTGTCGATTTTTGTTGGTGGGAAGAATATTCCCTCTAAATGTAAAGCTGTCTAATAATAAGGTTAGAAAAAATATTATTTTATTGTGATTATGGTTACTGTTCTTATTGCTTTGCGAGTAAGGAATGAAGGTTTTGGTGGTTTTGTTATTACTTTTCCTGGTGGCTTGGTGTGGTTTGTATATGGCTTTTGTCTTTCATTCATTCGCAGATTGATTGAAAATGAAAATACTTAGAGATGACGATATTGAGAAGGAGTTGTGTGATATGTTCGGCTTGTCAGACCCGGAAGATTCTGAAGATGGCCAAGAATCAGAAGAGGATGACGTTCCGTATAATGCCACGAAATTACAGCGAATTTTAGAGGATTTTGAGGAACCAGACCTTCGATTTACGGCAACAATACAAGCATCGTTATCGCCGCAACCATCTACATCATCTGATATAGAGGTCCCATGCGGTGAGCCTTTACTTGTAATACCTCCACCTACTGTGTCAGAACCTGTTGCTTCTTCATCTGCAGTGCCGTTACCCAATGTGCCGCTACCACCTGTACTACTGCCTGCTGAGCCTTCTATTCCACGTGGATTACCTGTAAATGTTAGAGGACGAGGAGCTAGGACGGGACGTGGACTTAGAATGGGGCGTAGATCTGGCACAAGACGAGGCGCTGGAACTGGAACGGGACGTGGAGCTAGGACGAGACTAGGTAGTGGGGCTGGACATGAAGACAGCGATTCATCCGAAGATAATGACCCACCAGAATCAGAAGCAGAGTCAGAAGCAAGTGATTCAGACAGAGATGAAGAAGCGTGGAAAAAAACCTTGTGGACTGATATTAGGCCACAACTTGAGTCCTTTGATAGTATTCCAATGACTCCAACACGCGTGTTACCATCTAATGCCAGGCCTATCCGATATTTTGAAAAAATGTTACTCAAGAAGTTTTTGAATTGATTATTACAGAGACTAACCGATATGCGAGTCAAAACAACGTAATAGGCTGGACTATACTAGAAATAAAAGAATTGAAGGCTTTCCTAGGTATCTTGATTATTATGGGATACAATAAATTGCCTACTTTAGAATTGTATTGGTCATCGGATCCCGAATTTAGAGTGAACAAAATAGCTTCCACAATGACATTCCAAAGATTCAAGCAAATTTTACGTTGTTTGCATCTAAATGATAATTCTAAACAACCTGTTAGACTTAGCCCCGAATATGACAAACTATTCAAAATTCGACCATTATTGACTCTTATCAATACCGCTTTTCAAGAAAATGCGCATAATTCTTCATCCCAATCAATCGATGAATCAATGATTCTTTTCAAAGGTAGGTCTTCATTGAAGCAGTACATGCCTATGAAACCAATAAAAAGAGGTTTCAAGGTGTGGTGCCGCTGTGACAGTAAAAGTGGTTATCTGTACGAATTCGAAATATATACTGGAAAAGATGGTGACAGAGTAGAAGATAATTTGGGAGGAAAAGTAGTCATGAAATTTACAGAAAAATTGAAAGGAATGGCAGCAGTGCATGTTACATTTGATAATTTTTTTTGCAGTTATAATGTCATGAATTATTTACAAGTCAATGGTATTTCCGCGAGCGGTACTGTACGCAGGCAAAGAGCAGACTTACCGAAACTTGTAAAATGTAAAAAAAAAACTAAAGCTAAAAAAAGGGCAGCACAAATGGAGAGTAAAAGAGAACGTCGCCTTTGTAATCTGGCAAGATACAAAGGAAGTGTTATTTATGACCAATGCTTTCCATCCGAACGACAATCAAACATCTCTATCCAGGAAAGGAAAAGACGGTTCTAAGACCGATATATTGTGTCCTACAGTAGTGAAGGAGTACACAAAAAGAATGGGTGGAGTAGATCACTTTGATCACATCAAAGGGACATACTCAGTTGGGCGAAGAAGCAGACGATGGTGGCTACGCATATTTAATTTTATTATTGATGCCTGCATCACAAATTCGTTTTTACTCCAAGGAAAGAATGCGAACGCAACCAAATTTTCAAACCTGGAGTATCGCGTTGCTTTAGCCAGAGGACTTATTGGTTGCATTTCTTCCCGAAAACGTCGCGCTGATGTCAACTATGTCGTAAGAAAAAAAGTTGCTCAATCTGATAATTACCAAAAGGCAATTCACATTGTTGCACCGGAAATTCGATTTTCCAATGTTGGTGATCACATGCCAAGTGATTTACCGTCCTATCAAAGATGCCGATATTGCAGCACTAAGGCAAAGGACAAGCGATCTAAGATCAAATGTAGTAAATGTGGGGTGCCTTTATGCATAACACCGTGATTGACATCAATTTTTTTTTTGGGCATCTTATGTATCCCAAAACTGAAAACCAAATCTTTCTATCTCATCTAGATCCTTATAACCGTTAAAGGGTTAATGAACAAGGATGGAATTTATTGTGTTTTATATAATTAATAATAATAAATAAAGCCTGGGTAAGGTAAACCTTTCCCAGGCTCTCTATTTAAAAACTAAATAGAGCGTTTAAGGTTTTGCCTAAACCAGACGCAACTTTTAACTCCTGGTCATCTCAAATTATTAAAAAGCAGTTATAAATAAATAGATATTTAAAAATATACTTTTTAATTTAATTTTCAGATAAAAGCGGGTCGCAAAGGAAAAGTCAATAGTGAAAAATTAAAAAAAATATTTCTTAAGTACGGAGATGTATGCAGAAATCGCAGTATTAAATATAATGATCCAGTATTTAAAACAATATCTAATGAGTTAGATAATACGATAGCTCCTTATGCAATCTACAAAGCATTGAAAAGGCACTACGACGAGTATTTTCAAAATAATGAAGATGATAACCTTTATTCACCCCGAGTTCAGAGTAGTTCATCTTCTTCACCGTCGCGTCATAGTGTGGCTTCATTATCGCTGACATATCAAGACAAGGTGAAAACATTTAGTTTTACAATGGACGAGCATGAATGGAAAAAAATTCAACCCGTGATGGTACATTATGCTAGAAGAGATATAAGGACCTCATCGACACACCAAAAATACAGGAGTCTGCCAAAGTTTAAGTGGGCGACTTTTTTGAGAAAAGCTCTGGGAGTTATCTAAGCTACCATGTACTTGGAACTTTAAAAATAAGAAAGTTGACGGTGAAAATAACATTTCGTTATTTGAAAAGTGCTCACAATGTCAAAGAGAAACAATAATAAAAACCGAAGCAATTTCTGAAAAAACTGTAAAATTTACATGCGATATACTTACTTGTAAGGAAGAGAATGTACCACACAATCCTAAAAAAAAATCAAAATTAACTCCATACAAAAGAGGTAAATTAGCAAAAATTCTACAGTATAAGCCTGCCGTAGTCGTACAAAAAGAACTTGCGGCCAAATTAATTAAAGACCCAAATCAAGTTTGCCCACCAGTGCTGCCAAGTTTAGCAGCTCTCCGCCAGATCAAGTATGAGAAACGACAAAGCAAGAGACTTCATGCTCACCCAATTTTAAGTATACTCATGATGACTCAAGAGGTACAGAACTTTATCCGTGAAGTGACATTGATACCGTGTTTTCATTTATATTATTGGTCTGATCAGCAAATAGAGTACTATACTAACTATTGTAATAGTTTTTCTAAAGTGACCATTACTGTAGATGCAACTGGATCTTTTTTTCAGGCTATAAAGCTTCCCGATGGAACTACACTAACAAAACGACTATTTGTATATATTGGCATGATTGCTTCGGATTCAATTAAATCTACTCCAATTTTTCAAATGGTTACCGATTCTCACAATAAAGATTCAATTGCAGCGTGGTTAAAAAAATGGTTAATTCAAGTAAGGAGCCCGCCACATGAAATTATTACCGATTACTACTATACCGCATTTACTACGTTTAGCAGTATAAAAGATTATGTTAAACGATCTGTTTTAGTCTTAAGTGGCCGCAATTATGCATTACCAATTACAATTTATAATTTACGTTGCTTTGAAAATAGGGATATAAATGTTAAAATGTTATACGTTCGTTGCATTTTGTATATGAAAGAATGTGAATCGTTTCAGCAAATTAAAACTCTCATTACTGATGTTGTAAGACTATGTCTAACCGAATACGATAACCCAGAAAACCCTGTTTCTGTTTATATTCAGAAAATAAGTTGCACCTTAGGTAATACTACATATACGGAACCTAATGAAGACACCGATGAGAAGGAAAATATTCACGAAAACATAATCCTCGACGATGATGACGGTTTGCTCTCAGGGTTTGATGAAATTGTTGAGAGGGAAAAAAGCCTAGATAAAACAAAAAGTTCGTCAGAATCACAAAACTCTTTCTACATGCCTCATTTAATAACAACGCTCAAACGGTTACTCCTAAAGTTACCCCTCTGGAGTAATATTATGTGCCCATTATATAAATCACAAAACAAAGTACCAACATCTTCAGCTATAGAGAGCTATTTTAAAACTATGAAAAATTTGTTATTCACAACAAGGTCGAAGAAATATAACATTGATGAATATTTAAATATGCATTATGATTATTTATTAGGTGAAATAAAAATTGCTTTAAATTGTTTAAATAATTTCGCTGACATTGTAGACAAAAAGGAGAAAAACATTAAAAGAAAACGAGGTAAGACTAGGAAGCGAAAAATGTTACCATTTGAAAACAAATGCTGCAAAAAAGAAAAACCTAGTGTAACCAAAACGTTTTTAAATGATTCGGTATTCTCAGTAATTCCTACGTATGTTGAAAACTGGAGAGGCGAAGGTGTTCCTAAAGATGATTCTGCAAATAAACCTGTATATATAATGTTTTTAAAAAATAGTAATTTTACTGTACAACATATATCTGAAAAAAATATTAAATCAACAAACACTTGTGCATTTGATTCCGTATTTTTTTTATTGGCCCACGGATTTAAAGAGTATTCATGCATACGCGATTTATTTGACAATAATTGCAGAAATAGGGATATAACAGCGTTTTTACAAATCCTCTGTAACTCTGATAATAACAGTGAAGAAGCAAACAAATTAAGAATAAGAATTGCTTCGATACATTTCAAAAACAATCATTAGGCACTTGTCTCTAGAACTAGAAACGAGTTAGTGAGACGCGAGGAGCGAGTGCGTAGTTCCGATATTTGTGTAGCTCGGCTATGAGCGAGTGTGCGAGTGAGGCGGGCGATTACTCGCATCACTCGCTCGCGGCAGTCAAGCAAGCGTACAGTCAGTCTTGCGGCCTCACTCAACGCGCACGTGTTCCCAATTTTCCAATAAAAATGGATGAGTTTTTTATTGAATGTGTCCGACAATATCCGTGTCTTTGGGACACAAAACTGATTTCATATAAACAATTAGACGTGAAGGACGCAGCTTGGAAAGAAATTTTAAAGAAAACAAACCTAGAAAGTGGTAAGTTTTTTATTTAACATCTATCTAACACAACATATACCTATAGTTAAATCAATATTCATTTTGCAGAGTCTAATGTAAGTTATGTGTTATCCTATCAGAATCTAATACATTTTGCACACGGTTATTTTGCCACGAAACTGTTCCAATGGAATTAAAATATTCCATGAAATATTCTCTCACAAAAAAGCCGTCTTCAAAATCTGCTGAGTTTTGTTCAGATACCTCGGTGTAATTTGTTGACATATAATCAGAAAAAACTGTTTGTGAAGGCTCCTTTTCGATTTCATTGCGTAATACAAAGTTATGTAGAACGCACGCAGCCTTTACAATTTTTTTGGCGGTACTTATTTTAACATCTAATGGCCTAAAAAAGATACGCCATTTGTGCACCAACATACCAAACGCACTTTCTACCATTCGGCGTGCTCTGCTCAGTCTATAATTAAATATTAACTGGTCTTTATCCAACCTTTCATGATCAGGATATGGTTTTAATAAATGTGTAATCAACGGAAATGCACAGTCACAAATAAAAACATAAGGCTGAGGCAAACCTCCTTCATATAGGGGTTCATCTGCGGGTAATCTCAATCCATTGTTTCACAACACATTGTAGAAATTACTATCAGTGAATATTCCGCTGTCACTGTATCTGCCCATTGATCCAACATCGATCATTATAAATCTTCCATGAGCATCAGCAATTGCTAACAGTACAATCGAAAATGTTTTTTTGTAGTTAAAGTACTGTGATCCCGATTTACGAGGCGAAAAAATTACCACGTGCTTGCCATCAATTGCACCAAGGCAATTATTGAAATTCCACAAATCATAAAAGTCTTTTGCTATAACTTTCCATTCGGGTTCAGTAGGGAGCTTCATTACTTTTGGTTGCAACTTGATACATAAAGATTCACATACTACCGGTATTATTTCGGAGAGCGTAGAACGGCCTATTCTATAGCTTTTTGACAATGCTGTATATGTAGTTCCGGTTATAAGATATCTGAAAATAAATAAAAATATCAAATAATATTAGTTAATAATATAAAATTAATTTTGATGTGGTGTGATATAATTATTTGTTTTATTTACAGTTACACAGGCAAAATTAAAATGGAAAAATTTGCGAGACACGCACCGCGAAAAATTAAAAAAAACCAAGAAGACAACAAGTGGACAGTCACAAAAACAAATAAAACCCTAGAAGTACATGAGGCACATTTTTGCTTCCATATATGACAAATGCGGAACGAGATACAAATGTTACACCACATGCTGATATTTCGACAAGTTTCGAGGAAACAGCTAATACAGATGTTAGTAGAGATTCAGCAGATACGATAATAGCTCCAAAAAAAAGGAAGACGGATGAAATAATTCATAATGACGAGGATTTGTTAAATTTTTAAAAGATATGGATCATAATCGAGCAAAACGAACTGCGCAGAGGGATGAGTTACGTAAAGAAGTACTAACATCAAGTGATCCTTTAAAAGCTTTTTTTGATTCAATGTATCATAGTACAAAGCAGATGCCGGAGTATTATCAAAGAACAATAAAAAGAAAGTTGTTTCAATTGGTAATGGATGCTGAAGACAATATTGCTAATACAAACTATTCATATACCGGTTACTACTCAAACGATTATTCTTACAACTCTCGCCCTTCTACGAGTCAGACCAATTTCTCTTCTGAACACGATGCTGCCTCACCTGAACCCAGCGGTTCTGGTGTGCAGCAAATTGGAATTGGAGCACATACTACTCGTAGCCAAAACGAAGAGATCCAAGATTCAATGTCTGCCGCTGAAATCAGTCCAAGCGATGGAGCCTTACCTTAATGTAATGACGAGACGCTCTCTTGTACCAATGGCTTCTCTATAATTTGTATTTTCTTTTTTAATGTCATCTTCTATTAAACTATGCAAATATTCAAACTCGTCTCTTGTCATTCTAAAATAAGTGCGAAAGCCATGATTTGTTAATTCATAGAATAGTTTGAATTCACTGCATTCTTTTCTGAAATAATTAATATTTTCCATCCATATTCTTCTTTTTTTCTTCATTTTTTTCTTACGTTTATTCAGAATTGCCACAGCCACTGCACAAACCCTATCATAGAATTCATCATCATCGTCCTCTGAACTAGATAACAATGATAATTCAAATGATTTTTCGATATTCATTTTAAATAAAAAATAACGTGTACTTTCAGATACGCACTGTAGAGAAATGATCACTGGCTGCTCGGCGTGAGTTCTAATCGCAAGTCTAATCGCTTAGCGAGTATCGCCAAGCGAGTGTTATCTTTCATAGCTCTTGTCGCTCAGCGACAAACTAGTGAAACGAGTGCTCGCCGGCAGTGTGAACAGTCAGCGATCAACTGTTTGTATATGCATCTCTTTTGTTCACACGGAAAGTATATCTATTGTACGTTTCTTGAGCGAGAAAATAGCCGATAGTTAGGCCTATAACGCACTAGCGGTTGGCCGCCATGCGGCGTGCCGTTGCGGTAGGCCGCACATCGATTAGTACATGAAACCGCACGATAACGACGCACTGATTTGCGGCCAGCCGTCAACCGCTCCGGTTGTTCCGGAGCTGCGACGAGCCGCGCCAGTTGAATGATGCGGCGCGCCGCATCCCCACCACGCACTCGGCGCGGTAGTCGCAAACGCCGCGTCCCGCCCGCCAGTCCGTCGTCGCTTGTTTCACGCGCTAGACACTACTCGTGCGCGTCATGGATTTTGATACAGAAAAGTTCAATTTAGGAATAAAAGAACGCCCCGCAATATGGGATAGCAAATGCGCTGATTATGCAGACAGAAATAAAAAGTTAAAATGTTGGGAGGAAATGATTAATATATATGCAAAGGAAGATGATACATCGGAAGAAAAGAAAGAACTCGGTAAGTTACGTTATTTATTAATCATGGTTACAATGTTACAATCATCATACCTACTTTTTATTCCCAATTTCCTGCGATTTTGCGGGATTAATGCCATTATATTTACTTATATATATTTATCTTGCCATTCCAATTTACCTTCATGTTCAAAATACTGAGCGAAAGAGTCACGAATTCTTTCAGCGATATTATTACCTATTCGATTATATGTTCTCTGAGTTTCTGGTACATCAGGCGGCATGTAACATGTTAAAGTATCTTCATAGTTATAACCGTCTCTGTCTCGAACGTAGTTATGCAAAATGCAACATGCTTTGATGATATCAGTAGCCAAACTAATATCCACATTTAAAGGTCTATGGAATATACGCCATTTATTGCTCAGTATTCCAAACGAACATTCGACATATCGCCGTGCTCTACAATGCCGATAATTATATATTCTCTTAGTAGTGTTTAAATTAGTATTTTTTGGTTTTGCATAAGGTCGCATTAAGTTCGTGGATAAGGGAAAGGCTTCATCGCCTACTAAAACATATGGCATTGGAATAGTATTTACTTGTGATATGGGTGTTGATTCTGGTATCTCAAGTTCTCCTGCTATCATTTTTTTGTAAAAGTTAGAGTGTTGATAAACTGCTAAGTCTCCAAATTTGCCACAAGCACCGACATCTATTGTTATGAATTTGTAGTTGCTGTCGCATATAGCCATCAGTATAATGGAAAAGAACTGCTTATAATTGTAGTAAATGGATCCACTATGGCACGGCTTTATTACCCGTATGTGTTTCCCATCTATAGCCCCAACGCAATTCGGAAAATTAGCTCTTTTAAAGAAACCCTTTGCAATATCTAGCCATCCTTGTTGAGATGGCTTCGGTAAACAAGATTCTTTTAACAGTAACCATATTGCCGAACATACTTCACGAACAAATTCAGCTATTGTACTCGCACCAATTCGAAATGTGTAATGTAGTTCAGCGAATGTACATCCGGTTGCCAAATATCTAAAAACATAATTATTTATTATTAATTTAAATGGTTATTGTTACAGGTAAAGTACTTATGAAAAAATGGCGGAATATTAAAGATAGTTTTGTAAAAGCTTCGAAAAATATGAAAAACATGAAAAGCGGTTCAGGTGCCAAACATAAATGCCCATATACCTATTATAATATTTTATTATTCTTAAAGGACTCTACTATGGTAAATGAGACAGAGTCAGACATTGCCAACAATCTTTCCCAAGACCATGATGGCCCATATGAAACATCACAGAATGTAGCTAATCAGAAAAAAAAGAAAAAAAGTAATAATGAAGACGTTATTGGACAACAATTGGTATCAGTATTGAACAAAAACTTGGAGTATAAAAAAGAAATGGAAAATGACGAAGACAAGTTGTTTTTGTTATCCCTTTTAAGGGAGTTCAAAAAAATTCCAGAATCCAATAAATTGGAAGCGAGATGTGAAATCATAAGAGCTATTAGAAATGTTCAACAACCATCATTTCATTATAGTTATCCTAATACGCAATTTGATCGAGGGTATCGAAACCATATGTATGAAAGTGAATATGCTGGAAGAGGATATCAAACACTTGATAGTGACTACACTGACCGAGGGTATGAGAGTAGACTCAATAATAGAGAACCAACAACTACAGGTTACCAACACCGTCAAAATCTACCAGGTACATCCACGCACTCAATGGATACAACTGAAGAGGCAACTCAGGAATCTGCTAGCCAAGACGACGCTTCGTTGATGTCTGAATTGTTTAATTCACCGTAGATTTTTTGTTAATGTGATTCTATTTCTATGTGCCTTAAATAAATGTGATTCAACTTAATATATTGTTTTCTTACCTGATGGTTATAATGAGCTTTTCTTCCGGGGATATAGACATCCGAAATCGTGTATCCTGGCCACGAATATTTAAATATAGTTTTGTTAATAATTCTTCATACGATTTTACTGACATCCTAGTGTATCCAAAGAACTTATCTTCAAATTTCTTTAGGTTTGAAATAAAAATATTAAACTCTTTGCCGTCATGTCGTGTCACCAATAGAGGATGTATCCAAAATCTATGTTTATTTTTTTGACGATATTTTCTACGATGATATAAATAAATGACTGCCGCAACTTCCTCAACGTCCATCATGTGCAATATTTCTAGAAGCACTGACGATTGCGGCAGACCGCAGTGAGCCAAGACCATACGGTTAGCCGGAATACGGCGTGCCGTTACGGCTGACCGTATATACTGCGGCCTGCCGCATCGGCATACCGCATCGCGGCAGGCCGCTAGTGCGTTATAGGCCTGAGAGCTCATTCACACGAAGACGAATCGTGATTTTTCACGAATCGTGTTTTTTCACGATTCGTTATAAATCACGATTTTTTTTGACGGGAGCAATGCTTTTTATATACCCATGTTCACACGCTTCACGAATCGTGAAAAAAGACGTAGACGGATACGTCGGTCACTACGGTCATTAGAATAACGATTCGTTAAAAATCTCGAATCGTGATTGGCGCTCGCGCCCCACGCGCCTGCCTGCTCCGCCCGCCTGTCTGCCCCACCCGCCGCGCGCCCGCTCAATTCAGTACATTCCTTTGACTTGTTAAGACGTGTAGCGCTGCGCTTCAATAAAATCATGTCAAAAAAAGAAAAATTGTATGACCAACAAATAAATCGCGAAGTTTTGATTGCTGCAATCAAAGACAGGCCAGTTTTATGGAATAAATTTTTGGAAATTTATAAGGACAAAACCGCTAAAACAGCAGCATGGCGGGAAATATGCATAATTTTGAAAGAAGATTTTGAAGAAATGGATCAAAAGGACCGACAGTTGTTTGGTAAGTTTTTATTGAGAAAATTTTAAATACAAATCTATACTGCCTATATTTTGTTGTCTTGCCATGGTACTGATCCAGTTTCTGATAGAAAGTAGGTCATAAATTCATTTCTCATTGAATTGCCAGTTCCGACACTCGGTGATACTTCCTGGGGTAGTAAATTTTCAAAATTAAATTCTTTTTCTAATTCAATTCCCTCCTTTTTTATAATCAAATTGTGGAGGACAGTACAAGCTTTCACTACTGAAATAGCTGTTTCTCGTTTAAGGTCTATGGGTCTATGTAAAATTCTCCACTTATTTGCTAGAATGCCAAACGCACATTCAACGTATCTTCTCGCTCTGGTTAAACGATAATTAAATATTCGTTTACCTCTGTCAAGATGCGTTCCACCAAAAGGTCTTAATAAATATGTGTGTAAACCAAATCCCTCGTCGCCAATAATTACGTAAGGAACTTGAACTTCTGATTCTGTAAATAAAGGCCTTGGTTCGGGTATATTCAAACGGCCTTCTGTCAACATTTTCCAAAAACTTGACTCTTTAAATATTGATGAGTCGCATTCTTTTCCATAGGAACCTACACTGACGTAAACGAATCGATAATCTGAATCTACGACTGCTAATAACACTATTGAAAAGAAATCTTTGTAGTTCATATATACTGAACCACTATTTGATGGCTTTCGAAGCCTAATATGCTTCCCGTCAACTGCTCCAAGGCAGTGAGGGAAATTGGCCTTTTCATTAAATCCACTTGCTATCTTTAACCACTCTTCTTCCTTATTAGGAAGTGGCATAAATTCTTCATATAAATTATTCCATATACTTTGCGTCACTTCTACTACGATGGTGGAAATGGTTGATTTGCCAATTCGATAACTAAAATGAAGATCTTCATAGGAAAGTCCTGACGCCAAATACCTAAAAAAATATTTCATTAAAACGAAATTAGTGGGATGAAGAAGTCGTATTTTCATTCAGAATAAGCGTTCCCACTAGGCACCCAAACGATTTCATATGTTTGACTGGCTGCCTAGTGGGATAGATTAGTCTAAATGAAAATAC